TCAACTCTGGAGCTCCCAGCACAAGAAGGATGTGAAACTGTTAGGAGGGTCATGAAAATGATCAAAGGGCTGGAGCACCTCTTCTGTGAAGACAGAGAGTTAGGGTTGTTCAGTCTGCAGAAGGCTCCAGGCAGACCTTATACCTGCTCTTACATTGTTATTGCTCTTTCTTTTTCTTTCCTTCTTTCTTTCTTTCCTTCTTTCCTTCTTTCCTTCTTTCTTTCCTTCTTTCCTTCTTTCCTTCTTTCTTTCCTTTTTTCTTTCCTTCTTTCTTTCCTCCTTTCTTTCCTTCTTTCCTTCTTTCCTTCTTTCTTTCTCTTTCTTTCTTTTCCTTCCTTCCTTCTTTTCCTTCTTTCTTTCCTTCTTTTTCTTCCTCTTTTCCTTCTTTCCTTCTTTCCTTCTTTCTTTCTTTCCTTCTTTCTTTTCTTTCCTTCTTTCTCTCCTTCCTTCCTTCCTTCTTTCTCTCCTTCCTTCCTTCCTTCTTTCTCTCCTTCCTTCCTTCCTTCCTTCCTCCCTTCCTCCCTTCTTTCCCTCTTTCTTTCCTTCTTCCTTCCTTCCTTTCAACTCCTTATCTCAGCCCATGAGTTTTTTCAGTTTTCTTTTTAGTTTCCTCCTCCATCTCACTGGTGGGGGTAGTGAGCCAATGGCTGTGAGGAGCTTAGCTGCCTGTGGGGTTAAACCGCAACAGTCGAAGTCAAAGGTTGGGAGCTACTTTCCTAACAGACCCTCGGTACATAATGCTAGTGCTCTAAACTAAAACATGGTTCTCTTAACTAGTTCTGAGAAAAAATACCACATATTTATTTTATCTTATGTTATATTTATCAGTAAGTCTGTGCTGTTCTTAGCTTTAGTATTATTAGTTAAGAAAATGTGGGGAAAACATTCACTTAGTCTTCTAAAATATAGCTGTTCTAAGCATTGCTTCTTGATCATGAGCCAGCCTTTGTCTAAACTGCTTATTAGAAAGTTTCTTTGGTTTCTTATGAGGAGTTGTAAATTTCCCTACCTCACTGCGTCATTAGAACCCACTGCCTGTACCACCTGCTAGAATATTATGGAGCTGTGAAGGCACCCCAATTGATTGGGATAGAATTTGCTTCATATATAGAACTGCAATGTAAACTTTCAGGTTATATTTAATGTTTTATGTGAAATAGACAACCTCCACCACCAAAAAAACACAACTTATTGTGCAATCTATTGCGCAAATAGAATCTCAGTATATTATTTTTTCTTCTTACTCATTTGGGTACTCTGTATGGTATTGTACTTTTAAACTACTGAGATTATTTCTTTTACACTGTCACTACATTTTACCTAGGCTCAGTCTACTTCTGGCAATTCAATTTTCTGATTTTAGAGGTAAGCCTCTAATACCACATTCTCTTCAAATTTAAGAAATACAAATAATAAATACAGATCTGAATTTCATAATCATTCCCTAAACTGATCATATTCACAGATTTACAACACATCTTCCACTGGGATAATACTCAAAAGTCAGGCAAACAAAATGCAAGTTTAAAATACAGCCATCAGTAAGAATGAAGTTGGGACACCTGTCCAAAGTGTGCACACTAATACTGTCTGTTCGGATGACAGCAGAAAAATTGCAGTGCACAGGCTGACTTGCCAACCACACCTGCAGCCTCATTAACAAGTTACATATACATGTATATATATATATAAATGAAAATTAAAAGGCACAGTATAAGCTTAGTAAAATTAGTTTTCAGAATATATATTTTTTTCAGTTATGATAAATAATCGTGACTCAAGTACTTGGCTTTTATACTTGTAAGAAACAATAAATAAATTTCTTACATGTGTAAGAGTTAAGAACAAGTTTATTAGATGTTTCTAGGGGAGTATATCCAAGTATATCCCAGATGTCAGAAGTTTAGTCATTTCCCTACTTCCTTGGTTTCAAGGAACACTTCCTTGAATATAAGGATTGGGAAAGAACTGGACACAAAAAGCATTGAAGAGGTGGGACTTTTCTTTGTGTTTTTGGTGGTGGTGGTGCTTTTACTTTTTCTTTTTTTCTTTTTTTTTTTTTTTTTTAAGCACAAACATGCTTTCTGCAAGTATATACCTGAAGCCCCAAAAACACAAGCTGACCATTTCTCATGCTTTATGTAAGTTTTGTGGGTAGATCCAAACAGCTTGCAAATATGCATCAATTATGAGACAGTACAAACTTTAGATTTGTTTAAGGAAGAAAACAGAAAACTTGAACTGCTATCAGCACTTTAATCTTCTGGATTTCATAGTCCTCCAGAATGGAGGGTTTTCATTTTATCTCTTCATAATTTGGATAATAATAGTCCAATGAAGTCTAAGTACAACAATCTGTTGTCAATGAATTATGAAGTATTGGTTGTTTTAAAAGAAAAATAAACTTGCTAATAATGGCAAAAGATAAATGAGTAGCTTCTCATTTGTCTCTGACTTTCTGAATTACATAAGCATTGAATTCTACTGATTAAACTTGGCTTAATAGACTTGATTTAATTAAGTGTAAGAAATACAAGAATATCAATTACTTTGTTTAAGCCAAAATAATAAATAAAGCCAAATAATAAATAGTACAAAATAAATTTGATTTTGCACACTAATTGCCTTCATGGTATTAGACATTTATATACCCACTTTTATTTTTTTTCCCATGTTAACATGAAGTTATCTTATGAAGTTGTGCAATTCCAAAATTCTGGATTTCAGAGAAATGTGACTATGAACTCTGAATTTTTGGAGAAAAATGTGAAGTTCAAGCAATTCCAATAGCATCTCTTAATGTAAAATTCCATATCAATAAGGAGAGGGGATAAATAATACAAACAACATTCACAAAAGTTTTCAGAAAATACATTTATTTATTTATTTTAACAGAGCACTATCCATAGATGTACTTTTGGTTTCCTGAATGCATTTGCAGAGTTGCATATCAAAAGAAAATTAGCTTACTGCTCTACAGGGTAGAAAACTCAGGGGAAATTAAAAGAAAAAAAAAAGTGACATGAAAATATACGTTGATGTCTAAATGAGGCTCATTCACCATTTTTTCTCACGTCTCTGTGACAGTCATCACTTGGACTGCATTTTCGACAGTTTAGTGCACACTAGTGTACATTGAACTAAATACAACATGCAGGCATTAACTGCTTCTCAGAGAGATCATCTCCAGACCTGAACAATTTCTTATACTTCACATCATTGCATTACTTCATCATAAATTGGTAGTGCACTGGCATATTCCCACAAACCTTGTAACCCCATTTTGTATGAGCAAAACAACTTTCAGAAACAACTGCTTCTAATCAGGTCATTTATTGTAAGTGTTCTCCAGATCACTGAATATTTGCTTATCATGATCACTGCCCATCTGGGCCAGTGAAAAGATTATGATTTGAATATATTTAAAGTAAAAACTTTTGCCCAATAACATACTAAGTGTTAAATTTCAGAAAAAGTAGTGCATCCCATGAATGTTCCTATGCTTTCTTCTGTAATTGAGATCAGCAGTCCTAAGAGCACTCTTGAAGATCATCAACCCTAAAAGCTACAAACTAAAACTGAAGTCTATCAGTAACTCCTTTGTCATATTTCAACCATCTCAGACCTATATAGAAATAGATCTAGGCAGATTAAGATACATAAAAAAAAAAAAAAAAAAAAAAAAAGAATGCTTATCCCAGATACACAAGAAGCAAGGAGCAACCACATATGTGTGTATACAGAATTTGATACTTACTACCACCCCCTAAGCTCATATTTTTCATCTTCAATGACTGGAACAATTGCACTACAGTTTCTGAAAGTGTGTGATGTCTCACTAGGTATTTATAGATAGTAGCTGATGACTACCTCTCTCTGTGACCGTTAGCACAATAACCACCCCATTCTATTTTCTTCCTTACTTTGTATGTTGTCTGCTCTCTCTCATATTAAACAGAGATCATTAACTGTTTTAAACAGCAACTAACTTCATATAACTCTATACAGAATTTAATATATAAGAATCCTGATTTACAAAAGCTAATCCAAAACTAAGCATCACTTAAAGTTTTATTCAAACTATTCTCTAAGCTATAAATATGATTAGGTATTTATATGTACACACATGTTTGTTGTTTTTGTTAGCTATGGTGTTTTGCTCAGCTGGGCAACTGAAAATATGAACTATAATGCTGAACTGTTAGAATAATTCTTAACATATTTCTAACAGATGAGAAGTGAGGAGACTCTTGTTTCCTGGACAGCTTTTCACGATCTGCCTGTTGAGAGATCCTTGTGAAGCCGCTTTAAATTATTTATTTATTTTTAGAAATAAGAGAGTTTTGTATTATGGATGCAGCTCATCCTTGCCAGATGGGTTTTTTGCAAAAAGATAACCCCAGACATATTTAATGTGTGTAGCCAATAGCTCTTGCAAAGAGTTTGTTTTTAGTCACTATGCTGATGAGGAATCTTATTGAAGAATGTCTGTGATTGTATGCTAGCTATCAGATAGTTCACGTAGGTGATTTTGAGGGTAAGTGACCACAGGAAGATTGATCATCATAATATAGTCAGAATGACAGAAAACAAGAATGATTAAGAACAGCAGAAAGGGCTATTGGAAATAAAGACTCAGTCAATAAGAAGCAAAAGTAAAAAAAATACTTGCAAGTAAGGGGAAGCCATTAGGCTCCCTTCATACATTAGTAGTCACAGAAGGTATTAATTATTAATAAAATCAAAATCAGTTAACAAAGTAAAACCCCACTCCTTAGAGCTAAATTGAAGACATGCAAGCATTTTACCATGTATTTTGTCCATTATCTGCTGCTAAAAAAAGGCTCATAAATCCCAGTTGTGGTGGTTTTACCCTGCTAAGCAGCTGAACTCCACCACAACAGCTCTCGCAATCCCCCTCCTCAAAGGGAAAGGAGGAGGATAAAAAAAATACCATGAAAAGAGTTCAAGGGTTGAGATAAGGACAGGGAGATGATTCAACAATTATCATCATAGGCAAAAACAAATTTAGCATAGGGAGATTAATGTAATTTATTACCTATTATTAACAAAGTAGAGAAGTAAGAAACTAAAAAACGAACTAAAAACACCTCTCCCCCATTCACCCTCTCCTACCTCCTTCCCCCAGGTGGCGCAGGGGAATGGGGAATGGGGAACGGGGGCTGCGGGCTGCAATCACTTTGCCGCTCCTTCACGGTCACTCCCTGCCCCTGCTCCACATGGGGTCCCTCCCACGGGATGCTGTCTTTCCCATCAGGAGCAAACTGCTCCAGCACGCATCCCCCGCGGCGGCAGCTCCCACCAGGCCCCGTGCTCCTGCGTGGGCTCCTCTCCACGGGCTGCAGCGTGGAGATCTGCTCCATGGGGGACCCATGGGCTGCAGGGGGACAGCCTGCTCCACCAGGGGCCTCTCCACAGGCCACAAGGAAACTTCTGCTACATGCCTGGAGTGCCTCCTGCCATCCTGCTGCACTGACCTTGGGATCTGTAAGGTTGTTCTCACTCCTCTCTTCCAGCTTTTGTTATGCAGCAGTTTTTCACTGTTGTTTGTTTGCTTTGTTGTGTTTCTCCTTTTCTTATATACGCTCTGACAGAGGCCCAACCAGCGTCACTCTAGCTCAGTTCTGGCCAGAAGGGGGTCCCTTTTGGAGCCGGTTGGAGCTGCCTCTGATCTGACATGGGGCATCTTCTGGGCTCTGCTCACAGAGCCCACCCCTGCAGCCCCGCTACCAAAACCTTGCCATATAAATTTACCCAATGCATTAGCTTTTCTATAAATGCAAGTTTTACGTTTTTTCTGATAGCCGTTTGATGGCAAGTGAGAGAAAAAGTGGAATAAATTAAAATCTATATTATATCCACATCTGTTGGCTTGATTTAAGTCTTCTCTCTTCGTGTTTCTTATTTTTCACATAAAAGAAGTTGATATCTAGTTATGACTGAGTTATAAAAAGTTTTTTGAGTTATGAAAACAAGGACCAAAACAGGCAGAAAGGTCTGTTTTGAACATTTGGATTTTTCAAACTACCCATGTGACATTGTTTTCAGTGACTAATTTATTTACATGATAGGCATACATATATATTGTTTTTTCTCTCTCTTTTTGTAAAGATAACTAAAAAAAAAAAAAAAAGTATATTACTCATATGTTTCTGTACTACTCATTTTTACCCTTAAATACCTGTTTTTCTCTTCATTTTCACTTTGGGATCAAGTTAGGTAGGCATTTTCACAGGTCTTCCAGTGTTCTTATCTGCTGATACTAAGCATATCATTTGGTTCATGCAACCAAAGCAATAATTATCACGTTCTTTTGAAGCTGTAATTCATGGTTTAGCAAGTGATAAAATAAACAGGCAGCAGCAAAGTGATGCAATAATGAGGAAGTTCAGGAAACAGAAGAAACAAAAAAGGGAAAATAAAAAAGGAAATTAGGGAAGGTACTAAATCATTTATTTATTTATTTATTTTGTAGGCAGTTATACACCTTGTGTACACTTCAATCTTTGAATCAACAAAACTGAAGGAAGAGAACAGACTTCTGACATGTCCCTACATGCAATGGTAGCTGTTACATGCACCGAGCTGTTAGGATAAACTGGAAATCACACATTGCTGTATGTGCTGACCAAAGTCACTAACTCCTATGGTGATCGGGATTATCTGTATTTTACTCAGGTATCAAGTTGTACTACTCAGCATTTATTAATTACGAATTCTAATTATTTTATCCTGCTTACATAGTTTATAATCTCAAACTGAGATGAATTTATTCAGATAATTTGAGTGTCAATGTCTACATTTAAAGGTCGATTTGACAGATTTGATATTAATTTAGAGAGTCTATACTTAGAATACAGTTCCACGTTGATGACTGGACATCAAGAATGAGGTTCATGACAATTTGTTTTAACTGTGTAAGCTAGTTGTCTTTTTAAGTCCCATCTTCTGGGTCCCTTTTTAGTCACCAGAGTGATAAAGATGTTTGTACATTTCTCAACACAGTTTCTCTCTGGAGGTGCCCTTCTCAGGGGAGTTTTTGAATTGTTTGTGCTAAATGCCTAGATTGTATGTGTCTAAAATGAAAAGAGATGAATACCACTGCAAGTAAGGAGTGCTTTGTTTTGTTTTGTTTAAGAAAGTGTTGGTAAAATTTTTTACTTTGAATGATTGTTTTAGTCTGCCTAAATATAATCTGTATCTGTTGTCTGATTGCCCTTGAAATGTATGGAAAAGTAAGTCAGTACCTCCATTCTCAGTTATCTCTTTTTAAGATTCAGTTCTACGGGGCAGGAATTTAAATTCAGGGAACTTTACCATGTACTCAGAATTACTTCGTGCTTAAGCACTTTCAGACTTTTCTCTCATCATGTCTTAAAGGGTTTATACTACGGTTGTTTTAATGAAACAAAAGATTTGGGTATGGAAATACAGCAGAACCATTACAGGACACAGGTTTCAATTAGTGCTAAGGACTGAATGCAATCTCTGTCATTACTATTGTAGCCACTTTGCTTGCTCTCCAAGATGTGGCGGCTGTTCACGTGCTGTAGTGAGGTACGCAAAGCTTGTCACAACATTATTGAGGAGAGAGGGGTTACTGACTGTTCTGCATGCCTAATTTTAAGAACTGTATTTTTTACATCTGTAATTCTTCTTCTTTGTTTCATATGGAGTATTTTGTATTGCTCTGTATGGCACTAATTTTAGTTATTTAGCTTTTATTTAGTAATTTAGCTTTTGGTAGACAGTTTACATACTATGGAACTGAGGTTATAGTTGCTTTTGTTTCTCTACCTCTGAAGCTTTCTCTGAAAGCACAAGAGCCTGGGTTGTCATTATGATTAACTAGTCAGATATTTTGTAATTTTAAAGTGCTTAATGTTTCAACTATAAAGACATTGATTTTTACAAATATTTGTTTGTAGGTATAAATACAGCTGTGCATGCTACTATGGCTGTAATTTCCCTAGCCAGCAAAAAAGTAAAATAGAAAAGACCAAAATCGTATCTTGAAAACTGAAATTCTATCATGGAGGTCCCTGCAAGTATCACCACAGAAAATATGTTTTCTGGATTCCTGAAGCTAATGGATTAGCCAATATCAAACAACTTAATACCGTATACAAGGAATAAATGAAGTGATAAAACTAATGACATCAAACACATTCCTGAGGTACACGTTTTAATGAATTTCCTATAATACAAAAAAAAGAACCAGGCTCAGGAACTTTGGATTTCCCTTTCAGAAAGGCAGAAAGTGACTTCCAAGAAATTTCTTCTGTCCTTGTTTCCCACCTCAATAATTCTAAACACCTCACTTCAGGCTTTTAATTCCAGGAGTGTTTATTTTTTTTACCATTCTGGAATTGTATTTCAATTCTTGGCCTATGTTCTTGCCAGACAGGCTTTTCTCATATTTTTCAAGTCACAGAATCACACAAAATCACAGCATTTCTAGGTTGGAAGAGACCTCAAGATCATCGAGTCCAACCTCTGACCTAACACTAACAGTCCCCACTAAACCATATCCCTAAGCTCTACATCTAAGTCCTTGATTCTCTCTTTGAAATCCATACTGTATCTACTTTTCCCTCTTACCACTTCCTCCCACTAAAATTTGCCAATGTTTCCCAGTGGTTCTGGGAAATCAACCTGAGGGTCCTCATCTAATTTGTCTTCCACATCACCTTATCTTATGGTATTAAAAAAGAACCATTCTTTCAGCAGCTCTCTCATGCCATAATATAAGCTCCCTGTTCGTAATCCCTATGTTTCAAATAGCCCCAGAAACCCTGAACTGAACAGATCAATCTCTCTTTTTTATCGTGTGTAATATACGTAATTCTTAAGGGGTTACAATTGCTGAAATGTAAAACATCAATTCTCAACACATCTGATGAGCAGGAATTTTTCAAAGGAATTTAAATTATCTAATTTTTGGCAGAATTCCCCAAGGTTAGAAGTATGTATATGTATGTCACAAAGGGATTCTTCCCTGATTCTGAATTTTGGGTAAAAGATTTAATACATATTAATTATCTGCATATTGGGGATTTCATACTCCATTCATACTCCAGCTAGAAGACCCTTGGGTAAATATGTACTCTTACAAAATAGGCCAATGTCAGGCACCACACGGAAAAATGGGGGCCTTGGCAATGTGAACTGGGGAAAATTCCTTCCTCATCCCACACCTGGCTCAGACTCTTGACCTTAAATATACAATCAAGATACAATGACCCATCCCTGGATTTGTTCAAGGCCAGTTAGTATGGGGCTTTGAGCAACCTGGTCTAGTGGAAGATGTCCCTACCTATTGCAGGGGGGTGGAATTATATGATCTTTAAGGTCCTTTCCAACCCAAACTATTCTGTGATTCTATGATTCTATGAAAACTACTGATTTTTTAACATGACTGGCCACACCAATGTTCCTTCCCCAACATTTTGCTTCTAACCCTTATCAAAATCCTACAGCTCGGAGACTGGAAACATTTTACAAAACTAAATGCTAAGTGCTGTTGTGATAGAAACTATTTCAGAATATAACCAACAATAACTCTAGATCATGTGATTAGGAGCATTTGGTGAATGCCGCCAAAAAAAATGAGCAAGACCTATTTCAGTCCTACTTCTTCCTCTATCAAAGTGTTTAATCCCAGATTGTAACAGTTTGTACTGACTGTTTTTATCCAACACTTTTTTCTTTTTTCAAAAGCTATTTTTCTCTGTCTTTTTTAGTACTATTTATTTTAGTATTTAGTTATATTTACTATGTAATTCAATGTCTTTGTGTACACCCTGTGCTTTAGGTACAGATAAAGGAGAAATGGCTAGAAGTCATTTTGATTTCTGGAGCATGAGAAAAAATCTCAAACTTTATGATAATGACTTAGTTGTTCCCTGCCAGAATGAACTGAATCACAGGAGAAAACAGATTGCTGTGATGCAGGCTGATCTGATCCACATTTGTTAAGACTCCATTTTTATACTCTGTAAAAGTGGGCTGACAAAAATCTCATGAAGTTCAACAAGTGCTGAGTCCTTCATCTGTGGAGAAACAACCCCAGGCACCAGTACCTGACAGGGTCCACCCAGGTGAAAAGCACCTTTGCAGAAAAGGACCTAGGAGTCCTGGTAGACACCAAGTTGAACATGAGTCAGCAATGTGTCTTTGCTGTTAAGAAGGTTATTGGTATTCTTGGCTGCATTAGGCAAAATATTTCTACCAGGTCAAGAGAAGTCCTCTTTTCCTCTACTAAGCATTGGTGAGGCCGCACCTGGAGTTCAGTGTCCAGTTCTGGGCCCCCTAGAAGACCTAGAGGCCTGGACATGCTGGAAAGAGACCAACAGAGGGCCACCAAGATGATGAGGGGTATGGAGCACCTCTTGTACAAGGAAATGCTAAGATAGCTGAGAGTGAAGAAGAGACCAGGAGGGATCTTATCAACATCTATAAATACCTGAAAGGAGGGTGCAGAAGACCAATATGCACTACTTTCAGTGGTGCCAAGTCCTGGGAAATGAATGTAGAATCATGGAATCATTAAGGTTGGAAAAGACTTTCAAGATCGTCTGGTCCAACCATCCCCCTACCACCAGTATCAGCCACTAAATCATGTCCCTAGGCACCACATCCAACCTTTCCTTAAACACCCCCAGGAATGGTGACTGCACCACCTACCTCCCTGGGCAACCCATTCCAATTCCTGACTGCTCTTTCTGAGAAGAATGTCTCCTAATTTCCAAGCTAAACCTCCCCTGGCACAACATCAGTCCATTCCCTCTAGTCCTATCACTGCTTATCTGTGAGAAGAGGATGACCCCCAGCTCCCCACACTTTCTTTTCAGGTAGTTGTACAGAGCAATAAGGTCTCCCCTGAGCCTCCTCCAGACTAAACAACCCCAGTTCCCTCAGCTGTTCCTCACAGGACTTGTGTTCCAGGCCCTTCACCAGGTTTGTGGTCCTTCTCTGGACATTTTCCAAGGCCTCAATGTCCTTCTTGTAGTGAGGGGCCCAAAGCCAAACACAGTACTCGAGGTACAGCCTCACCAGAGCAGAGCACAGGGGGATGATCAGCTCCCTGGTCCTGCTGGTTACGCTATTCCTGATACAAGCTAGAATGCCACTGACCTTCTTGGCCACTTGGGCACACTGCTGGCTCATGTCCAGGCAAGCATCAATAAGCACCCCAAGATCCTTTTCCTCTGCACAGCTTTCCAGCCACTATGCCCCAAGTCTGTAGCACTGCATGGGGTTGTTGTGACCAAAATCAGGACCTGGCACGTAGCCATGTTGAACCTTATCCCATTTGCCTCTGCCCATTGACCCATCCAGTCCAGGTCCCTCTGCAGGGCCTTCCTACCCTCCAGCAGATTGACACTTCCCCCCAACTTGGTTTTGTCTGCAAACTTGCTTTCAATTCTCTCATCCAAATCATCAATAAAGATACTAAAATAGGATGGGCCTCAACACTGACCCTTGAGGCACACCAGTAGTGACTGGTTGACATCTGGATTTCATTCCATTCACTATTACTCCCTAGGGCTTGGCTGTCCAGCCACTTTTTAATCCAGCAAAGAGTGTACCTTTCCAAGCCATGGGCTGCCAGCTTCTCCAGCAGACTACCCTGGGAGACATGTCAAAGACCTTGCTGAAGTCTAGGTAGACTACATCAACAGCCTTTCCCTCATCCACCAGGTGGGTCACCCAGTCATGGACAATGAAGTTGGTCAGGCAGAACTTGCCTTTCATGAACCCATGCTGACTGGGCCTGATCACCTGGATTTCCCACATACATTGTGTGATTGCACTCAAGATGTCCTGTTACATCATCTTTCCTGCTACCGAGGTCAGGCTGATCAACCTGTAGTTTCCCTGCTCCTCATTACGACCCTTCTTATAGATGGGCATCACATTAGCAAAACCTCAGTCATCTGGGATCTCTCCAGATGGCCGTTACTGCTGACAGATGACGGAAGGCAGCCCAGGAAATCACATCCACCAACTCCCTCAGCACCCTCGGGTAGATCTCATCTGGCCCCATGGACTTCTGACAGTCCAGGTGGAGCAGCAGGTCTCTAACAGTTTCCACCTGAACTGTGGAGGGTTTCTTCTGCTCCCCATCCCCATCTTTCAGTTCAGGAGGGTGAGTACTCTGAGGATAAGTGGTCTGGCTAGTAAAGACAGATGTAAAGAAGGCATTAAGAACCTTGGCCTTTTCCTTATGCTTTGTAGTCATGTTCCCCCCTGCACCCAGTAAAGAATGGAGATTCTCCTTGGCCCTCCTCTTGACGTTAATATATTTACAAAAACATTTTTTATTATCCTTGATCATAGTGGCCAGGTTGAGCTCGTGCTAGGCTTTGGCCTTCCTGATTCTTTCTCTCTGCATATACTGGCAACTTCCTTGTACTCTCCTTGAGTTACCTGCCCCTTCTTCCAAAAAACATAAACTCTTTCTCCTGGACACTCAGCAAAAGTTCCCTTTTCAGCCATGCCAGTCTTCTTCCCCAGTGGCTTGTCTTATGGCACACAGCGACAGCCTGCTCCTGCGCCCTTAGGACTTCCTTCTTGAAGAGCATCTGGCCCTCCTGGACCCCTCTGCCCTTCAGGGCTGACTCCCAAGGGACCCTCCCTACCAGTTCCCCGAACAATTCAAGTTCTGCCCTCTGGAAGTCTAAGGCAGTAGTTTTACTTATCCTTTCCTGACTTCACCAAGAATAGAGAACTAACACAGTCCTGGGCAACCTGTGGCACTGCTCGAGCAGGAGGGTTATACCACATGACCTCCAGAGGTCCCTTCCAACCTTAACTATTCTGTGAGTCTGTGATGTTCTCAGGAAATTGTAAATAATTGTTTATGTATTTCTTATATTTGTATATAATGTTAATACACACAGACTACACTGGAA